TGGAAGGAGGTGAGGTGGGAATTCAGGCTCCAGACCCTGCTGGGGGAGAGGAGGCAGGAGGGGACATTCACATCTCCAGTGACCCTGTCTCTTCTCTGAGTGGCCTTTCTCCAATCCTGGTTGGCCTCTTTGCTTCTCCTTGTGGCCCCATCCATGTCCCTTTTCTGTTAGAAGGCCCTCTGGAAACGTCTCGAGGGTCCCAGCTAGCTCCCGAGCCAGGGGCCCCCCTAGTCCCTGGCGTCAGCCCCTGCTGCCCTTCAGGCTTTGCGCTCCACCCTTCAGGCTCCCTCACACCCTGGGGCTTTGCCCCTGCTGTGCCCTCCGTTTGAGATTCCTTTCTCTGTTTCCGCCTGGCAAGGGAAGACTGACACCCGCTCCTCTGAGTCCTCAGTCCCCATGCTCCCTGTCTTAGAGCACAGGACAGAATGTATTAGAACCGCCTGTTTCCACAGTGGACGCCTTATTCATGAATGTCTGTTGAAGAGTCGAAAAACATGTCTATTTTTGTCTGTGGCTCTGTAACTCCTGGGTACTCCTGACTGGGATTGCCACTGTGAGAAGGGGCTCAAAGGGGGATTTCCCCACCTTGTTCCCCTGCCTCCCATGGGGGATGGGGGGGTACCCAACCTAGTGACCTAGGTTGGGAGGCAGAGCGGCCCCTGTGCTTAGGAGTCTGTACTTCTATGAGCCAGGAAATGACTTGGAGATGCTCTGTCAAGCACAAGATATAAATTGCAGGCAGTTTTTAAACGTTTGGAGAGATTGCTTTTTGAGTGGCAACCTGCATCTGTGCGTATCGGGAGGGGGCGGGGCAGAAAAGAATTTACTTTTCTCTATTCTCTCTTCTCCCTAGGGCCCAGTCACTTCTTGGCTCAGCAGGACCCCAGCTCAGGCCTGGAGTGAGAGGTAGGGGACTCTGGACACAGTGGGGGATTGACCGGAGGGACTCCCCAGGTTCAGCCTGTGACCTCCCATGGCTGGGAGCTGGGTGAGGTAGACAGGCTGGCAGATGGTAATGGCCCCCATCTCCCATCCCAAACACCAGAGGTTTAGGGGGCCTGGCGTCAATGCCTCTCTGCTGCACTGACTTTTGGGGCATTGATTTGACTGCATTTTCTTCTGTCTCAGCCACACTCATCAAATCCATGGAGGCCCCAGCTTGGCATAGACCATCCAGGGCTGGGACTTCGTGTTGGGGCTGTGGAGGGTGCTGGGGGTGGGGGCTGATGGGAGATAATCTGTCAACCAGGGTCATTGCAGTGAGGCCAACTGCTGTCCCCAGAAAGAATTATTTGTTTGTTTCTTCATTCATTCATTCATACAAGAAAGAAACGTTGAGTGTTTCCTCGATGCGAGGAGTGTTTTGGGGCCCTGGGGTTACAGGAATGGTTTAAACTGAGACATAGATGCTTTCATTGAGTTTACATAGGAATCTGTTCCCTAACCTCAGCTTTAGCGTTCTCCTTGTTTTATGGTGACACAATTGTGTATACCGCTTGGGGAGGTTTGAGGAATCAGTGATGCTAAGGCTGTAAAGATCCCATCAGGTCTTCATAGATGGGGACTGAACCCCGATGTTTGCTGCTATTTTATTCCAACAACCTCTGGTCTTGGTGAGGGAGGAGCCCGTGAGGGGGGTTCCTGTTGCTCTGATGCCCGGGCCCTGTAACTGGCCCAGGGAGGTGGACACGGGGCAGCAGCCGGGGATACAAGGGGACTCCTCATTTCCACCCTAGGAGGAGGACGGGGGAGCAGGGGCTTCTGGGCAGAGGTCAAGGATTTGTGGTCAAACCCACAGAGAATCTGTTTCCTGGGAGGTTGAGGGCTGCTTTCAGCCACAGGAAGGGAGGAGGCTTTGGGCCATATCGTGCTACCTGCCCAAGTGGCCCTGCAGCCATTTCCTGTGCTGGGAAACCTGCCCTGCAAGGTTGATGCAGTTGGCAGCAGGGCGGGTGGGGTCTCTGAGGGTGGTGGGCTCCTGGGCACGCATGGGGCTGGGCTGGGGGTCACTGCCATGCAGTTCCCACTCTCAAGCTGGAAAAGGGGCCGCCAGCTCCTCCACAGCAGTCAGGAGGGCTCCCCAAGGACCTGGCCTCCTGCTGGTGTGGAGAGCTGGTTACGGTTTGAGTTAATGCTCCTTAAAAGAAGCCAATGGGTCCCTTCGGGGCCTTTCAGGAGATTACAGATTGCATTCAAACCAATCCACCCTGGAGAGGGAGAGGGAGGCAAGTGCACTAAATGAGCCCTTTGAGCCCAGGAAGCCAGCAAAATAGGCGAGGGCTGGAGTCAGCATTAGGGCTGGGGACAAACAGTTTTAGAGCAGGCATGAGCTAGTGAGCCATTGTTGGTTCTGTCAACTCAGCCTCACCACCCATGACCTATCAGGTAGCTTCTCTTACCACGCCTATTTGGCAGAGGAAGAAAGTGACAACAGAGAGGTTCAGTAATTTGCATAAAGTCACAGGGCTACTAAGTAGTAGATCAGAGGTTTGAACTCAGGCAGCCAGGCTCCAGAGCTGGATTCTAGAACTGGAGCTGGCGCTGCAGTGGGCGGTGGGTCCAATCTGGAGCTTGTGCTGACGCCGAGACTTGGGCTGCAGCTGCGTGGGCTGGGAGGTGTCTAGAGCTCCTGCCCACAGAGAATACACGCTATTCTTTGTGAACAGGTCTATGCGGGAGACACCAAGCTCACCCTTGGAGTCTCAAGGGATATGGGCTCTGAGAGATGTGCCACCTTCCCTCCTCCTGGTTCACTCCTGTCTGGATGGCTGGCCACCCCACCTGCCCCAAGGCCCAGAGACTGTGTCTCAAGCATTTGGGGAGATGCTCAGTCAGGGCTGTGGTTCTCCTGCTCTGGGCCGGGATGTCTCAGGGGCTGGAAGCAGCAAGTGCCGCTGCGTCAAGAATTGCACGTTTGGGTGCCTTGGCAGCCCTATCTCCTGTTCCTGGGTCCTGGGAGGTTCCTGGCTGTGGGGAGTTACAAACGCGCCTAACCTGGCGTCAGAGGGTGAGTGGGTGGGTGTGGCCCAGAAGCAACCTGAAGCCATTCTCCCCACCAAAAACCCAAGGCCTCCTCTCTAGCTCTCTTGACCCCCAGGGTCTGAGGTACCTGAAATTCCAGGCTACCTTCTTGCTTAAACATTTTCAATGATTTACAGTTGCCTGCAGAAAAGGCTCAGTTCAGGCTTCATATAAATTCCAAAGTTCTTTTGTCTCAGCCTCCTGTGGATTGTGAGGAATACAAGAGCTTTGGAGGAAAGAGCCAGGTGGTGGCTGGGAGTGTGCAGGCTGCCTGGGCCCCTGAAGGTGTTATTATCGACATGGTTGGAAGTCACATGGTTACTTCTGACACACACCCTTCAGGGCCCTGCCAGTCTGTGTAATCTGCATGGTTCCACGAGCAGATGAATCCTGCCCTTACTTTGCTCTGGGCTGGACTTCAGAATCTCGTTCTCTGTACTATTGGTGGCCTTCGCTCAGAATCCTGGGTTTGGCTGGTATAACCAATACATTGAAAAATTGCAAATTGCAATTTATGGGATGTCAACAAAACGCAACCTTATTTGTGTCTCCCATTGTCCTTTTAAATATCCCCGCCATGGCTCATTGGCTCACTTTTAGGTAACAAGTCCATTTTAAAAAGTCACTTTCAGGCATAAAATGGGTTTCAATTCAAAAAATTAGAATGTATAGTATAGTCCCAGATAATAATTCCTGTTTCAAATTCGATTCAATGTCGAATCTTTCCCCCTCCCTGAGACAGAACAGCTTGCAGGTTGTAGGGAACAGGAGATGTGGCTGCTGTAACTGACCCCTCCAGGGCTGGAGAAGCAGGTGGAGGAAGGTGGGGGAGGAGGGGGAGGCGGCAGTAAAATGCCTTTCTTGCTGTGGTCTGAATAAGGCTTGGCAGTCTTAGGTGCTGGCTGGTGTACATCTTCTGATTCTCCTCAGCTCTCTGTCTCTATCAGTCCTCTCCACTAGGATTTTGCTGTTGAGTCTCTGCTCTCCCTGGCAGGACTTAATGTGGCCCTAAGGCCTTCTCTCTTCCTTGGCTCTGCAGCAAACACTTGCACAGCCTTTGGCCTCGCAGACTCTGGATGTGCAGACCACCCCAGGGCAGCGGCTTTGTCTCTGCCAGCCTGGCCTCTTAGAGTTCCCAGGTGGGAGTTAGACCCCAGGATTGAGTCTTGGTCAGGCCTCTCACTTGAGCAGGCAGCATGTGTTGTATCTTGGTGCTTCTGTGAAAATTTCTTTTTTTTTAACTCCCCATTATATGTGTAAGAGGGCAGTTTTGCCTCCTGTCTCTCACTAAGAGAGTCAGCAACAGTGTGGGCAGTGCCAGCCATGTCCGGTTGCCCACGGGTCCCAGCTCAGCCCTTCCCCACCCAGTGGCCATCAGACTGACAGGAAATAGTCAATCTGAGTAAACTAAAATATTGAACGCCAGCTCCGTTCCTAAAGAGGTGTGTGACCTTGTGTAGCTGAGTTAACTTCTTTGTGCTTCAGTTTTGTCATCTGTAAAATAGGATGGTAGTGCTTACTTCACAGATGGTTGATCAAATGAGATAACTGGGAACACTTAGAGCAGCATGCCTAGTACACAGCAAGCACTCAGTAAATAACAATTTATTATTATTATCATCACCGTTGTCGTCATCTATGCACCCTGGAACTTGGGATGCAACAGGGGAATGGTGAAGAGGGTAGGCTGTGGAATCTGGAGTGAGGCAGATCTGGTTAGAATCTGGCTCAAGTTTTGTGACTTGGAGCAAATTGTTAATCTTCTCTGAGCCTCAGTTTCCACAGCTGTCACATGGAGATTTCACTCTCCCCATTTTGCCTCAGAGCTGTTGGGGGGAGGGAGGGGTTTATGGAGATAAAGTTTCTAATGCTCTCAGCTCAAGGTTTAGTGTACAGCAGGCAAATTGAAAAAGGGCAGCCATTGTGCTCTATTAGTGACGGAGCTTGATTTTTCTGGAGGCCTAAGAAGTGCCAGTCCTCCCAATGCCCCTTTAAGTCAGCCAGCCTGCCCTGACTTACTTCTGATGATTTAATCACCAAGGAAACAGCAGAGGGGTCCAGACATGACCAAGAAGCCCTTGATTTATAAGTACTGCACCTCACAGGCCGGAATCGCTCCTCCACGACCCTCACCCTGATCCTGTGTGTTGGAATGCAGCTCTCCGTTGTCAAGAGCTGGGAACTTCAGCCTCAAATTAAATGCAAACAGACGACTATCTCTCACCTGTGTTTTGCCCTGAGTCTCCAAACATTCTGGAGAACAGCGGAGTGAAGGGGAGACATCTCTGGCGGCCTTGCTAATGAGCAGGCTCATTTTCCTTGTCCCCCTCTTGCCATAAGAAGAGAAGAATTGTTTTTCTGTTTGGCACGCCAGTATCAATATTTCCAGAGTGATATGAGAACGAAAACAACCCCTGGCTTTATTAGTCCTCTGGTGGCTTTAGCACGACAGGCAGTGAGATTTGCTGGGGACACGGCTCCCCTCCCACCTGTCCTCACCCCACCCTGCAGTACAGCCGAGGGAATCAAGGTGGACTAGACCCACAGGACGAAATGGCCCTTGGACACAAACCTTCTCGCCCAGTCCTCTGCACACAGAGGAAGGGCTGTGCCAGGTTCACGGGACCCAGGCTTTCTGGCTCTCGGCTCCATGCTTTTCCCACTCAGTGGGGATTTTCAAACTTTAAAAAAGCTAACTCTTTCAGAAAGTGAAATCTCATATGGAAACCCCAACATAAAGCGGGGATGCTCTGGTCAGGGGGAGGAAGCAGGGGGGCAGGAGCCCCGTTTAGTGACATCCCGGACTCTGGAGAAAACTCCTTTTGAGGGTCAACCCTAAGGTTCTGTGGCACCCAGCTGAAAAGCCCTGGAGTAAACTCTTGTCG